CCAACTAGGTAACGTCATCAGTTCTAGAAGCAAGTGTTGTTTGCAGAGACAAGGAGGAAGGGGAAGAGGAAGAAGAAGAAGAGGATGACTGCGGGGTCCTTGGTGCTCTCTGAGCTTGGTGGTTTCCTTGCAGGCATTTCATGACCCAACTAGATAACATCATCAGTACTAGAAAGGAGTGGGGTTTGCAGAGAGGAGGAGGAGGAGAACGACTGTGAGGTCCTTGGTGCTCTCCGCAGACGTTTCATGACCCATCTAGGGAACATCATCAGAATGGGGCTTACAGAGGAGGAGGACTGTGAGGTACCTGATGGTCTCTGAGCTTCTTTTCTTTTCTTGCAGACGTTTCATGACCCTTCCAGGGAACATCATCCGTGCCAGTGGGAGGGTTGCTCTCAGTTTCTCTTCTAATGCCTTGCCCTGTCAGTATTGCTGGGGGGGCGGTCTTAGGGGTTCTTTGGTTGGCAGTGGTGGGCTGCAACTGGTTTAACAAGCGGTTAAACTTCTGGTGGCAAGCTGTTCCACTGATTAATTGTTAGGCTTTCTTTTAGAAGTTGTAAATGCTCCAACACTGGAAGTTTTTAAGAAGAGATTAGAAAGCCATTTGTCTGAAGTGGTGTAGAGTTTCCTGCCTGAGCAGGGGGTTGGACTAGAAGACCTCCAAGGTCCCTCCCAACCCTATCATTCTGTGTTCTATATTCAACACAATGTCCATATCTCCACAAATATACTGTGATTGTCCCTTTTTTCTATGGATGTGAGTCCTGGACACATCAAACAACTATCCTCCAAAGCCCCTGAAGGCAGGACAAGAAGCAACGGGTGGAAACTAATCAAGGAGGGAAGCAACCTAGAACTAAGGAGAAATTTCCTGACAGTGAGAACAATTAACCAGTGGAACAACTTGCCTCCAGAAGTTGTGAATGCTCCAACATTGGAAGTTTTTAAGAAGATGTTGGATAATCATTTGTCTGAAGTGGTGTAGGGTTTTGTGTTTAAGCAGGGGGGTTGGACTAGATGACCTCCAAGGTCTCTTCCAGCTCTGTTATTCTATTCTATTTTAAACCCCAGACCCATCTCACAGACCAAGGAAATGAACTGAAAATAAGAAGATAAGGTTTAACATGGGAAAATGCAGAATTACAGGCAGTCCTTGACTTGCAGCCAATTGTTTAAAATTCAAAATTACAAAGGCAGTGAAAAAGTGGTTTATGTCCATGTCCCACATTTATGGCGGTTGCACCATCCCCACATTCATGTGTTCAAAATTCATACCCTTATAATAATAATAAATAGTAATAATAATAATAAAATATAAAGCGGGGCTTTTTTTATGGGAGATAAGCCACTGTTAAATAATTGAAAAATGAGAATAATAATACAAAGGGATATAATAAATTGTCAAATAAGAGAATTTTGGATATGGGATTAAGCACAAAAGATTTGTAACCGATCGATACACTTTCTGTAATTGTAATGGATGATGGTTGTTTTAAGTTTTGTTTAAAAATAAAAATTCAAAAAAAAAATTCATACCCTTGGCCACCAACTCGTATTTATGACGGTTGTGGTCAGTGGTGGGTTTCCAATATTTTTACCACCGGTTCACCGCCACGCACACACACTTGTTTCACATGTGTGTGCGCCTTCTGCGTATGCTCCCGGCCTCGAAAACATGCCTAAATAGGACATCATAGAGCCAGGGCGAATGGCAGTACTCCCGAACCAGTACGAACCGGCTGAATACTACGTGATCCTCGTTTTGCAAATCTCCAATGGGCAAAGTCTACGAGGAAGCCAGATTCATTTAACAACCGTGTGACAGACTTAATCAGTGCAGTGATTCGTTTAACAACGGCGGCAAGCAAGGTTGCCAAACTCACTTAACGACTCTCTCGCTTAGCGACGGAAATTTGGGGCCCGAGGACTGCCTGCAATTCCTTTCCCGGCAATTTTCTTTTTCATCCAAGAGGCCAGATTTTTGCCCCCTAGTTCCTCGCTGCGGAGAACAATGCCCTTAAGTTTTAGAACCACACGAGCAAACAGTCGGCGAGAATCCTTCTTCAGGTTGTCAATCTGTTCCTATTTTTTTCCTCTGCAAAAAAAAAAAAAGGAATTGAAAAGCGGTGGGAGTTTTGCAGCTGAGCGCAGAGCCAGTTCGCCTGTCTGAATAAAAGCTCCCAAGACAATGCACTGCCTCCCCGAGCCACGAAGCTGGAAGCTGGGGGGGAGCAATGCGCCAAGATTACTCATCAGCCGGTTTGCTTGCATGCTGTGAGTTAAAAGGAGGCAGCTATAGTGATGCCTGCAGATTGCAGGAGAGAAGGAGGGAATGGAACGATTAGCAGATTAACAAAGTTGAAAGGGACCTTGGAGGTCTTCTAGTCCAACCCCCATCCACCCCCTCAAGGAGGAGACGTTATACTACTTCAGACAAATGGCTTTCCAGTCTCTTTTTAAAAACCTCCAGTGATGGAGCACAACTTCTGGTGGCAAGTTGTTCCACTGATTAATTGTCCTCACTGCTGGGAAGTTTCTCCTTAGTTCCAGGTTGCTTCTCTCCTTGATTAGTTTCCATCCGTTGCTTCTTGTCCTGACTTCTGGTGCTTTGGAAAATAATTTGACCCCCTGTTCTTTGGGGCAGCCCCTCAAATATTGAAAGACTGTTATCATGCCACCTCTAGTCCTTCTATCCTGAGGGACACAGTGTGCTTGAAGAAAGCATCAGGAACAAGCTGGCTCATCAGTTTTTTAGCACTTTTTAAAATTCAAGTTAGCCACTCTTTTCTCTCTTGGAAAGCCTCGCCTGCATTGAAGCCAACGGAGGAACTCGGGTGGCAAATGGGACCGTATCTCATTTCTATATTGCAGGAAATTCTCCGGGAAGCATTGCTTTGGGCCGTTAGGATCTCAGCAGCTTTGCTGGAGGAGCAGAATTACAGAATAACAGAGTTGGAAGGGACCTTGGAGGTCTTCTAGTCCAACCCCCTGCTTAGGCAGGAAACCCTACACCACTTCAGACAAATGGTTATCCAATCTCTTCTTTAAAACTTCCAGTGTTGGAGCATTCGCAACTTCTGGTGGCAAGTTGTTCCACTGATTAATTGTTCTAACTGTCAGGAAATTTCTCCTTAGTTCCAGATTGCTTCTCTCCTTGATTAGTTTCCATCCGTTGCTTCTTGTTCAGGTGCTTTGGAGAATAGCTTGACTCCTTCTTCTTTGGGGCAGCCCCTGAGATATCAGAACACTGCTATCATGTCTCCCCTAGTCCTTCTCTTCATTAAACTAGACATACCCAGTTTCTGCAACTGTTCTTCATATGTTTCAGCCTCCAGTCCCCTAATCCTCCTTGTTGCTCTTCTCTGCACTCTTTCTAGAGTCTCCACATCTTTTTTTTACATCGTGGCAACCAAAACTGGGTGCAGGATTCCAGGTGTGGTCTTAGTACCAAGGCAGTTTGTTCTTGTCTTATAGAATCATTCAGCAGCCCACTTAATTTATGTCATCCACAGATTTGATCAGCATCCACCAAACCTTTTTATCTGGGCCATTAAGAAAATCTGGGCCCGAGACCCGAATATCTGGCACGCCTAAATATTCCACTGCAGTTTGACGAGGAATTGCTGGAGGATACAATTTTCAATTTAAGACCTGCGTTGCACTCGACAATTAGCCCAAAATTTGCTAAGCGAAACAGTTGTTAAGTAACTTTTGCCCATTTCATGACCTTTCTTGCCACGGTTGTTAAGTGAATTACTTTGGTCGTTAGGTTAGTAACACCGTTGTTAAGCAAATGTGGCTTTTCCCTCCCCCACCCTTGACTTTGCTCATCAGAAAGTTGCAAAAGGGGATCGCATGATCCCAGGACATTGTCACCTTCATAAATATGTGTCAGTTGCCAAGTGTCTGAATTTTGATCATGCTAACATGAGGATGGGGACCGGTCATAAGTGGGAAAAATGGTCATAAGTTCCTTTTTTTCAGTGGCGTTGTAACTTTGAACAGTCAGTAAACGAGTGTTGTAAATCAAGGACTACCGGTACTTTATAAAATGCTTTGAGATAGTTAATACTCATCAGGTTTCCACAATCTGCTTTCAGAACTATTTGGAATAAACTGCAGCTTAAGTTTTTTTAAAAAGTGATTTTATAAAAGCGTGCAATCTATACGCAATCTGTGGTAGGTATTTTACAGGTCGCCTCTTTACTGCAATATCTGATTTAATCGGATAGGAACAGCAGGTGAAAATAAAGAAAGGAAAGGAAAGGAAAGGAAGGAAAGGAAAGGAAAGGAAAGGAAAGGAAAGGAAAGGAAAGGAAAGGAAAGGAAAGGAAAGGAAGGAAAGGAAAGGAAAGGAAAGGAAAGGAAGGGGGAGGGAGAGAGGGAGGGAGGGAGAGTGGGGAGAAGAAAGAAAGAAAGAGAGAGAGAGAGAGAGAGAAGAAGAAAGAGAAGGAGAGAGAGAGAAAGAAAAGAAAGAAGGAAGGAAGGAAGGAAGGAAGGAAGGAAGGGAAGGAAGGAAGGAAGAAAGAAAGAAGGAAAGAAAGAAAGAAAGAAAGAAAGAAAGAAAGAAAGAAAGAAAGAAAGAAAGAGAAAGAGAGGGAGGGAGGGACAAGAGGCAGAGAGGGAAGGAAGGAATGAAAAGAGAAGGAGGGAAGGTGGGAGAAAGGAAGGAAGAGAGGGAAAGTGAAGGACAGAATAAAAGAGAGTGTCAGGTTTCAGAGAGAAGAAGAGAGGGAGGAAGAAAAAGAGAGGGAGGGAAGGTGGGAGGAAGGAAGAGAGGGAAAGTGAAGGAAGAAATGAAAAGAAAGAAGAAGGAAGGAAGGAAGGAAGGAAGGAAGGAAGGAAGGAAGGAAGGAAGGAAGGAAGGAAGGAAGGAAGGAAGGAAGGAAAGATTGGATTTGAATCCAGAACTCATCTGCTAGATCTCACAGCTTCCTAGTCTTAATTCTCACCCTCGCTCTTCCTCTTTCTCTGTTCTTTTCATTTTCTCCCCATCCCAGCTGGCCTTGGCTTCACGGCCAAACTCTGTGCTTTGATTGCTATGTCCTTGCCAGGAAGCCGAAGACCCTCGACGGGATCCCGAAGGTGAATATGATTTAATTCTTTCTCCGTCTCATCGAAAGTGGACGCCTGCAGCAGTTGGTCCATTCACAGCAAAGCATCTCAAAACTTAATTCTGTAAAGTTTTCCCATGAAAATGTGTGTTTTATCTGGCAGTAAGTCCTTTTGAGGGAAGCCTGCATGTAGTGGTCAGAAAAAATGGCAGCATCATTCCACCCTCATTTTGTTTGATTTTATTATTTTATTTTGTTTATTTACTTTATTTTATCATTTTTATTGTATTTATTTACCTGCCTTTATTATTTTTATAGATAACTAAAGACGGTGAACATATCTAATACTCCTTCCTCCTCCTCCTACTTTCCCCACAACAATCCTGTGAGGTGGGTTAGGTTGAAAGAGACACACTGGCCCGAAGTCACCCTGATGGTTTTCATGCTGAAAGCAGGACTAGAACTCACCGTTACCTGTTGATTGGCCCAAAATTACACAGCCAGCTTTCATTTATTTTATTTATTTTATTTTATTCAATTTGTATCCCACCCTTCTCCAAGTGGACTCAGGGCGGTGCACAGCCAGAACTAAAACACATACCAGTACAAAATTTAATTTTTTTAAAAAAGAATTATATGACTTTGGCCCAAAATTTAAAACATTCAAACTAAAACCCATTGACAATTTAAAAAGCTAAAAAAAGAGGGGGGGGTTTCACGCCAGCCCTGCTTGATGGAAAAGAAAAGTTTTCAGGGCACGGCGAAAGACCCGGAGATCCGATATCCTTCGTATCTCCGGGGGCAAATTGTTCCAGAGGGCAGGAGCTGCCACAGAGAAGGCCCTCCCCCTGGGGGTCGCCAGCCGACACTGCCTAGCTGATGGCACCCTGAGGAGTCCCTCTCTGTGGGAGCGAACTGGTCAGTGGGAGGCTATCGGCGGCAGAAGGCGGTCCCGCAAATACCCAGGTCCTATGCCATGGAGCGCTTTAAAGGTGGTGACCAACACCTTGAAGCGCACCCGGAAGACCACTGGAAGCCAATGCAGCTCGCGCAGGAGAGGTGTCACATGGGAGCGCTCCCTCGCTCCCATAATCCCCCGCGCGGCCGCATTCTGCACCAGTTGGAGCCTCATGCCGTAACTACCCGTGTTTCCCCGAAAATAAGACCCAGTCTTATTTTCTTTTCGGCCCCAAAATAAGCACCAGGTCTTATTTTGGGGGGAATGTCTTACCCGCTTACCTTGTGACCATCACAGCCAGCCCTCCCACACCCTGACACCTGTCGTGCCGCTGCCCGATTCCTTCTGCGGCCACTCGCGGCCAGATGCCGCAAGGCTCATTGTGCAGGTGCCACCACTTGCAGCAAGAAGGCTGTGTGGTGTGCTGTGCCATTGCATGTGTGAGCAGCGGCACTGGTGCGATGAGCCTTGCGGCGTCCTTCCGCGATCAGTGGCACCAGCACAATGCGCCATGTAGGGTCCGGCAGTGAGCAAGCACAAGCAGCTGCAGAAGAAGTCAGGCAGCATTGCGACAGGTGTCCTGGCTGCAGCGGTCCTAAAGTAAGCAGGGGCTGGGCGCATGGGGCAGCTCCACTCCCCATTCCTGCCCTAGCTTGATTTTTACGCCTGCGCCCCTCGCCCCACCTAATACAACCAGATCGTCAGGTTCCAAACAGGAAGAAAAAGAAAGAAACACAGCCAAACACAAACTTGGTTTGTTGCTGCCTGCTTTACTTCTTTTTTGACACGCACAGACAATCGCAAAAGGAACTTCTTGTTAGGGCTAACCGCCCGTGCTCCCCACCACCTTTTAAACTATAAGCAGCTCCCTCCCACGTGACCCTGAAATGAGCAGGGAATAATACATGTGAAGAAGAAGCCAGCATCCCCCTTAAGTCCAGCTTTTCTTTTCCTCCTCCACTGCCAGTAAGTTTTTAAGGAGGACTGGTCCTCTTCCTTCGCTGTCAGTCAGCCTTTACAGGAGGACCCTTCCCGGCAGAACACATCCGGATGTTTCAGGACGGCCAGGGATAGCGGTGGCTGTCTCCCCTCTGAATGGCAGCTCCGGGCGGGCCGGCACGCCGGAGCTGACACAGATGGTGGAAGGGGCTTAACTAGAGCTTATTTTAGGGATAGGGTGTCAGCGTCCCAGCACTGACATATATAAGGAGAGGAGAAGCTTGAACTTTTGCCTACTTAATTCCTTTGAAGATTCTGTCTCCTCGGAGATGGGAGGAGGGGGACATTCCTGTGATCTGACGGAGAAGGGATGAGGAAAGTGGCTTGGAAGATAGCCAATGAGACGCAGAGAATTGGGGATCGGAAAGGGAGGGATTGGGGGCAAAGGTCAGTACTGACCGCGAAAGTGCCAGGGACAGATCACTATGCTCAATAAAGAGAAAAATTCCTTAAAGATCGGCAGTTTGGAAATTCCTTTATTTTGAGATAGCATCGAAACCTGACATAGAGCTTATATTAGGCACAAGCGTGAAACAGGGAAACATGGTAGAACGCACCGTCTCCTGGTGATTGGCCCAAAGTCACCCAGCCAGCTTTCATACCTAAGGCAGGACTGGAACTCAGAATCTCCTGGCTGCCTTAACCACGAGACCAAACTGGCTCTTTTCATAAGCATTATATAAACTTTATACAAAAATAGGCAGTGCTTTGATAGCACCATCAAAGCTGCCATCTTGATTTGGTTTAAGCATATCCTTGGTCCTTCTGGTTCTATTTGTTGTGGCCCGCCAGTGGACAGTGAGGAGGTTGGGGAGGAACTTGGGCCAGTCCAGTGGGCTGAGGAAAGCTCGGACCAGGGCTCTGTATCAGAGGCAGAGAGGGGGCCAAGGTCATCTGATAGTTATGTGCAGCCTCCAGAATCTGACACCAGCGAGGCAGAAGAACATCAGGAGCCTGTTCCCAGTGTGCGCATGCGCAGAACTGCCAAACAACAAGAACAATTAAGGAAACAGGGTCGACTTGGGAGTAAGGCTTGGAGATGATTGGCCCCTCCCATAAGACATAAAAGAAGAGCAAATGGGACGTGAGCTTTTGCAGGAAGCAATTAATTCATCCGGCCGATTCAAGATTGGAAAATTCTGTTTGTGACTCTGTGCCAAGTTTGGCCTTGCCCTGCGTCTGAAAATTAGCTCTTTGGGCAGCGTTCCACGTGAGATAGGTGGGTGTTGATAATCTTCCCCTGAAAGACTGTTTGTCAGGCCTTGCAGACTATAAATGAAAGTAATTTACAGTCGTATAAGTAAAAGAGGTTTTGTGGAACTAAGATTGTGCTTTATACTTTCTAAGGAAGTCTAGGACAGAACACTATTTGCCTTCGGATCAAAGCTCCAAAATGAATGTTGGGATCAAAGAAACCCATCCGGGAGTAGAGAGTTGTTGGGTGAAACTATGCAACATCGCATGAGGGTTATTTATCGGCCGTGTTTCAACAAACATGTTGCCTGCCCTTCTACATACATGAACCTCTTGTTCCAATTTAGTTCTGTGGACACAAAAGGCAGAATCCTCGGCATTCAGGAAAGATGGTTACCCCAAATGCTTGTTTGCCAGTGAAGTGATGTTTGCTTGTTTGTTTGCCAAATGCTTGTTTGCCAGTGATACTTTGGGAATTTGTAAAATAGACAATTTAGTCATCCTTGCTAAAAAGACTGCCTCCGTCATTAAGACGGATGGATTTAAAATTGAATTAATTCAATACTTTATTTAGCCAAGTGTGATTAGACACAGAAGGAATTTGTCAGACCACTAAAAGGGGGAAAGTAAAGAAGAAAAAGGATAAACAATGACACTGCAGCCACACCGTGTGGGTTAATATACATTATGTATAAAATATATTTGTGTAGCACTCTCTTTGAAAGAGCAGAAACAATTGGATAGCTGTGTTTCTATAACACACTATAAGCCAACAATAAAATCGAAGCTTAGAATTCAAGATCGTTGACCTTACACAATAATAAAATTTGGACTAATATATGGCTTAAAAGGTTTCTGTTTAAGTTGCAAAATGTCCATGCTATTCCAGAGATTTTGTCCAGTTCAAAACTGGAACTTTTAATATTTATTATTATCAACAATCAACCAATAGAACCATCAACCGGTGGAACAGAAGTTGCCTTCAGAAGTTGTGGGAGCTTCATCCCTGGAGGCTTTCAAGAAGAGACTGGACTGCCATCGGTCAGAAATGGTGTAGAGTCTCCTGCTTGGGAGTGGGGTTAGACTAGATGACCGACAAGGTCCCTTCCAACTCTGTTGTTCTGTTCTAAACTATTAAGGGTGAACAGTTCATGGAAGTTATACTGATCATTTTATCTTTATCTTTATCTGTATTCAAATTTCTATACCGCCCTTCTCCTTTCGGACTCAGGGCGGTGAACAGCCAAAAATAAAACATTTTATATACAAAAGTTAAAATAAATTTAAAATAATTCAATAAATTTGGCCCATTAATTTAAAACATTCCAATTAAAACCATATCAAAATTATTTAAAACCAATCATAAAATCAGGACAGCCCGGCTAACTGAAAAAAATAGGTTTTGAGAGCCCGACGAAAAGTCCGGAGGTCTGGGATCACTCGTATCTCTGGGGGTAGATTGTTCCAGAGGGTGGGTGCTACCACAGAGAAGGCTCCCCTCCTGGGGACCCTGGCCGATGGCACCCTGAGGAGGCCCTCTCTGTGGGAGCGAACCGGCCGGTGGGAGGCAATTGGTGGCAGGAGGCGGTCCCATAGATACCCCGGCCCTAAGCCATGGAGCGCTTTAAAGGTGATCACCAACACCTTGAAGCGCACCCGGAAGTCCACCGGGAGCCAATGTAGCTCGTGCAGGAGAGGAGTCACATGGGAGCGCCCCGTCGCTCCCATAATCCCCCGCACGGCCGCATTCTGCACCAGTTGGAGCCTCCGGGTGCACCCCAAGGGGAGCCCCATGTAGAGAGCGTTACAATAGTCCAGACGAGAGGTGACGAGTGCTTGAGTGACCGTGCGTAGGGAGTCCCGATCCAGAAAGGGGCGCAACTGGCGTATCAGGCGGACCTGATAGAAGGCCCCCCTGGCCACGGCCGTCGTATGCCCTTCTAAAGACAGCCGTGCGTCCAGGAGGACACCCAAGTTGCGAGCCCTTTCCGTGGGGGCCAATGATTCACCCCCAATAACCAGCGATGGCGCCAGCTGGCTATACCGGGACGCCGGCAGCCACAGCCACTCAGTCTTGGAAGGGTTGAGTCGGAGCCTGTTTCTCCCCATCCAGACCCGCATGGCCTCCAAGCACTGGGACATCACTTCCAAGGCATCGTTGGGATGGTCTGGGGTGGAGATGTACAGCTGAGTATCATCAGCGTACTGATGGAACTCCACCCCAAAACCACGGATGATCTCACCCAGCGGCTTCACATAAATGTTGAACAGGAGGGGCGAGAGGATCGACCCTTGTGGCACCCCACAAACAAGGCGCCTCGGGGTCGACCGCTGCCCCCCTGTCAACACAGATTGCGACCGGTCGGAGAGATAGGAGGAGAACCACCGCAAAATGGTGCCCCCCACTCCCAGTCCCTCCAGCCGGCGCAACGTGATACCATGGTCGATGGTATCAAAAGCCGCTGAGAGATCTAACAGGACCAGGATAGAGGAATAACCCTTACCCCGAGCCCTCCAGAGATCATCCACCAACGCGACCAATGCCGTTTCCGTGTTGTACCCAGGCCTGAAACCGGACTGGATTTTAAAGTTTCTCATAGGAGGTAAGAAACAGATTCAGGGGTACTGAAAAGTAGATTTAAAGTATATTTAGTTGAACCATCTTAAAGTTGCCGTAATTGAAAAACACTGTGATAGATGGATATGATGAAGCAGATGGACATGATCGGCAAGGACAAAGAAAATGATTTGTGTCAAATGGTAGAGTTAAGATTTCCTGCTCTTTCTTATTTTCTACCTTTAATTTTCTCACCCCCTTTTTTGCGTAACGTTGCTTAACCAGAAAAGTAAAACTTTATTTGATGGCTGCGCCCATGATCTGGAACTTCTCCAACAAGTTCCTCTTCTTTTATTTGCCTTTTCCCCCTCAACTTTCTTAAATATCAAGGGATAGCACTACGTCACTGTGTTAGCTTCCTTTTTTTTTTCTTGGCACCATTTCCAAAGAGTGTTACAAATCACAATTTTGGGATCATGAGTCGCTCTGTAGATTTGCATGTAGGCACTGTGATATTGGAAATTTGATTTGCTTCCTTCCGTATGTGATAACTTAATTATTGGTAATTGATTTTCTTTCCTCCGTTTGTGATAACTTCATTATTGGTAGTTCGATTTTCTTTCTTCTGTATGTGATAACTTAATTATTGATACTTTGATTTTCTTTCTTCCGTATGGGATAACTTAATTATTGATAGTTTGATTTTCTTTCTTCCGTATGTGATAACTTAATTATTGGTAGTTTGATTTTCTTTCCTCCATATGTGATAACTTAATTATTGATACTTTGATTTTCTTTCCTCCGTATGTGATAACTTAATTATTGATAGTTTGATTTTCTTTCTTCTGTATGTGATAACTTAATTTTAAGAATTCCCTAGCATGCATGGCCATCGCTGAGAGTTCTGGCAGTCAGTCTACATATCTGAAGGTGTCCAATTTGGGGAGAACTGAGTTAAGGAGGGCAAGAAGGGGGAAGGGATCTATAGACCCCTGAATTCCACCCCATATGCACCCCTGTTGCTACTTGTAGATACAGTTTTGCCCCCTTCCATTGTGATCTCCCCCTTTTTCCTCTCCTGTTTGTATGGTCCTGCTTTTTACCTTGATTCTCTTCTCCTGTCTTGTGCATTTGTGTTCCCTCGGGTTGTGGAAGCCGTGAGTTTTACGGAAGGAGTGGCTCAGCCTCCCTCTTTAAGTCTGCAACGGCCCCAGCCACTCCGACTGAGAAACAGCCTCTTCTTCCTGCCTCCAGGCGCCCCTCCCCGCCCGTCAGTATGCGCGACACCTACGGCACCTCTTCGCTCAGCAGCAGCAGCAACTCCGGCTCCTGTAAGGGCAGCGACAGCAGTCCCACGCCAAGGTAACCCCAGGGGGCGCCGCTGAGCAATGTAGGTCCAAGCCAAAGGGCCAATCTGCCCAGTGCAGGGGTCAATGGCGTGGCAATTATCCTGATTTTATCCCGCACGCTATTCCAGTTTTGCTTCAGTTGGCAATGCTACATATTGCAATGCTGACTCTGCCCACTGCCTGCAGTTTGATTCTCACCGATTCAAGCTGACTCAGCCTTCCCCCCCTTCCCAGGTCAGTAAACTGAGGACCCAGATTGTTGGGGGCAAAGATGCTGATTCTGTAAACCACTTAGAGGGCTGCAAAGCACTATGAAGCGGTATATAAGGCTAAGTGCTATTGCTATCTATCTCTGTCTCATCTCTCTCTCTTTGTCTATCTCTCTGTCTCTCACTGTTTCTTTCTATCTCTTTCTCTGTGTCTGTCTCTCTGTCTGTCTGTCTATCTAGCTAGCTATCATCTATCTATCATCTCTATCTACATCTACCTACCTACCTATCCTCTCTATCTCTATCTACCTACCTATCATAGCTATCTATCTATCTATCTATCTATCTATCTACCTACCTACCTACCTTTCTATTATCTATCCATCCATCTATCATCTACCTACCTTTCTATTATCTATCCATCCATCCATCTATCATCTACCTACCTTTCTATTATCTATCTATCTATCTATCTATCTATCTATCTATCTATCTATCTATCTATCTATCTATCATCTATCTATCCATCCATCCATCTATATCTACCTACCTTTCTATTATCTATCCATCCATCATCTACCTATCTTTCTATTATCTATCTCTATCTATCTATCTATCTATCTATCTATCTATCTATCTATCTATCTATCATCTATCTATCTATCATCGATATCATCTATCTCTATCTACCTACCTACCTACCTATCCTCTCTATCTCTATCTCTATCTACCTATCATACCTATCTATCAATCATCTATCTACATCTATCTAGCTATCTAGCTATCATCTACCTACCTACCTTTCTATTATCTATCTATCATCTATCTATCTATCATCTATATATCTCTATCTACTTACCTATCTATCCACTCTATCTCTACCTACCTACCTGTCATACCTATCTATCTATCTATCATCTATCTAACTACATCTATCTAGCTATCTATATCTACATCTATCTAGCTATCTATCTATCCATCCATCCATCTATCATCTACCTACCTTTCTATTTTCTATCTATCTATCATCTATCTATCTATCTATCTATCTATCTATCTATCTATCTATCTATCTATCTTGCAGTTCACTTCCAATTTTGATAACCTACTGATCCTCATCATGTATGTTGAGTCCAAAATTTCTGTTGCTAAGTGAGACACCTGTTAAGTAAATTTTGCCCCATTTTACTGCCTTTCTAGTGGTCACATGGTTGTTAAGCGAATCACCGCACTGGTTAAGTTAGCCACACATTCGTTAAGCAAATCAGGCTTCCCCATTGATTTTGCTAATCAGACGGTCACAAAAGGGGATCACGTGACCCCGGAATGCTGCAACCGTCATAAGTATGAGTTTGTTGCCAAACGCCTGAATTTTAATCTTGTGACCGGGGGGATGCAGCAATGGTCCTAAGTGTGAAAAGTGGTCCTAAGTCATTTTTTTGCAGTGCGCCGGTAACTTTGCATGGTCAGTAAATGAATTGTTGCAAGTGGAAGTCTACCTGTACAAAAGCAATAAAAATCCATTGAAAACCCTGGAAAAAGATGAAACGGCCTTCATTGGGTGCAGAAATAAAGTTAGCCAGCTCATCTGGAGAAGGACTACCTGGATGGGAAGCCACCACAGAAGCAGCTCTCCCCTTGTAGAGGTCCACCTCACTCCGTGGTGAGAAGAAGGCTGGTTCTGGGGAATGGCCATGAATCTGGGGAAGAGGCAATAAAATTCGGAGTCTGGCTAGTCCCTACTAGACATGTGCCTTCTGTGTTGTGAGGATAAAGTCCTGTCTTCCTTCTAAAGGTCCATCCAGTCTTCTCCAACCCCACCGTCCCTTCCACGTCCTTCGTCTCCTGTATGTTGCTTCATCCATCACTCTAGACTAGAGCAAGGAGAAGAGCAGGATGGTGGCTTTCCCCATCTCTTGCAAAACTGCATGGAAGAAAAGGGAGCACCTTTTGAACCGAGCACACCTGAGTCTGGCACTAGTAGCCATGCAGTTGGCTGGAGGGAGGGATAGCAGGGTCACCCAGTTGTGTGAACACATGCGCAAAAGTGGGTAACCATCCTCGCAGAGATTTATAGGATTCAAAGGGAAGGAGGGCAGGCAGGCAGGCAGGCAAGCAGGCAGGCAAGATGGAAGGAAGGAAGGAAGGAAGGAAGGAAGGAAGGAAGGAAGGAAGGAAGGAAGAAGGAAGGAAGGAAGTAGAGATGTGAGGAAGGAAGGAAGGAGAGATGTGAGAAAGGAAGGAAGGACAGATGGGAAGAAGGGAGGAAGGAAGGAAGGAAGGAAGGAAGGAAGGAAGGAAGGAAGGAAGGAAGGAAGGAAGGAAGGAAGGAGAGATGCGAGGAAGGAAGGAAGGAAAGGGGATAGAAAGAAAAGGGAGAGACGGAGAGACGGAGGAAGGAAGGGGGAGAGAGAAAAAAGAGAGAAAGAAAGGAAGATGGGAAGAAGGGAGGGAGGAAGGAAGGAAGGAGAGATGTGGGGAAGGAAGGAAGGAAGGAAAGGGGATAGAAAGAAAAGGGAGAGAGGGAGAGACGGAGGAAGGAAGGGGGAGAGAGAAAAAAGAAAGGAAGGGAGGGAGGGAGGGAGAGAGGGAGGGAGGGAAAGAAAGGAAGGGGGGAGAGAAAAAAAGACAGGAAAAAAGAAAAGAAAGAAAGAGAAAGAAAGAAAGAAGAGTGGGAGGGGGGGAAAGAAAGGGAGGAAGGAAGGGGGAGAGAGAAAAAAGAGAGAAAGAAAGGAAGATGGGAAGATGGGAAGAAGAGAGGGAGGAAGGAAGGGAGGAAGGAGAGATGTGGGGAAGGAAGGAAGGAAGGAAGGAAAGGGGATAGAAAGAAAAGGGAGAGAGGGAGGAAGGAAGGGGGAGAGAGAAAAAAGAGAGAAAGAAAGGAAGATGGGAAGGAGGGAGGGAGGGAGGAAGGAGGGAGGGAAGGAAGGAAGGAAGGAAGGAAGGAAGGAAGGAAGGAAGGAAGGAAGGAAGGAAAGAAAGGGGATAGAAAGAAAAAGGAGAGACGGAGAGATGGAGGAAGGGGGAGAGAGAAAAAAGAAAGGAAGGGAGGGAGGGAGGGAAAGAAAGGAAGGGGGAGAGAAAGAAAAAAGACAGGAAAAAAGAAAAGAAAGAAAGAGAAAGAAAGAAAGAAGAGTGGGAGGGAGGGAAAGAAAGGGAGGAAGGACGGGAGAGAGAGAGAGAGAGAGAACAAAAGAAGGAAGGAAAGAAGTGGAAAAAAAAAAGGAAGGAAGGAAGGCCGTTAATTGTGTCTTCCTCCCTTTTCAGGCGCCCCGTGAAGTACCTCCTGTGTAGTGACAACCATGGGATCAAGCCCCCAACTCCTGAGCAATACCTCACCCCCCTCCAGCAGAAAGAGGTCTGCATCCGGCACCTGCGGGCCAGGCTGAGGGACACCCACGAGAGGCTGCAGGACAGGTGAGCCTCCGGGGCAGAGAAATGGGGGTTTCCTCCTTGCCTAATCCAGCAGGAGATCTTGTGTCACTCGTGGTTCCTTGAGACGTTATTGCTGCCTCCCATACCACCAAGGAGTAGGCGATGAACTACTTGGGGTACAGCATGCTGTGAGAACCAGCCCTTGGGCTAGCGAACTTAGCAACTCCTTCAACAACATCAGCTGGATTGTCCTGCAACTAATCCCGGAGGATGGACTCACAGTGTTTGCCAATAGAAGAGAATCTCTGTAGCTCAGGGTCGAACTGTGGGGTCCTCGGTGCTCTCTGAGCTTGGTGGTTTTCTTGGAGACGTTTCATGACCCAACTAGGGAACATCATCAGTGCTAGAAGGGAGTGGGGTTTGCAAGGAGGAGGAGGAAGGGGACTATGGGGTCCTCGGTGCTCTCTGAGCTTGGTGGTTTTCTTGCAAACGTTTCATGACCCAACTATATAGCATCATCAGTGCTAGAAGGGAGTGGGGTTTGCAAGGAGGAGGAGGAAGGGGACTATGGGGTCCTCGGTGCTCTCTGAGCTTGGTGGTTTTCTTGCAGACGTTTCATGACCCAACTAGGTAACTTCATCAGCGGGAGTAAGTGTGGAGTTTGCTCAACAGAGCTAGCTGGGAATAGGGTTTGCAGAGTCGGGGAATAGAGAGGAGGAAGAGGAGGAGAAGGAGGAGGACTGTGGGGCATTGGTTCTTTCTGAGCTTGGTTGTTTTCTTGGAGACGTTTCATGACCCAGCTAGGGAACATCATCAGTGGGAGTAAGTGTGGAGTTTGCTTCCTGTTTATATACAGTAGCTTTCCCTGCCAGTGTTGGCAGGGAGGTACGGTTTTCCCTTTGGTCGTTCCCTGATTAGGATATTGTTTTCTCTTTGGTTGCCTGGTGTTAATCCCTATGTCAGGGTTCCCACCGATGCCCTAACTAAATCATGAGCCCCTTGAGCCATGAATCAAAAGAAATCCAGTTATTTATTAGGAGCGTCACATCAGCATGTTCGAAGTGAAGCCAACTCTGACCCCACTTAATTTACGTTACGGCTCTGATCCTGTTTCCCCTCTCCCCCCAAGGTGTGTCATTCTCCAACGAAGCAATTTCCTGGTTTGTGGAAATCACTCCCCTCCAGCCACTGTGGGTAACCGCGGAGACAGCCTTGACAGAGATATGGCTGGAATGTGCTTTTGTTTTGACTGACGTGCTGCCTCGCTGCAGCTGCAAAGTTCATTTCCCCATCCCCCCCCTGCCTAAGGCAACTCGAGAGCAGGCCAGGGATTCTGTCAGGTTTCGAGGTTGTCTCAAATAAATTGCATTTCAAACAAAGTCTTTGATGAAAAACTCCCATTTATTAAGCACGCCATTCTAACTCCGACTCCATCGTAGCCAACACTGACTTCCTGACCCAAAACCCTCCCTTTGCTTTCCCCACTCCTCTGCACTCATTGGCCATCTTCCAAGTCACTCTACCCCTAATCTACTGCTCCAGCTCAAATGAATTTCCCCCCTCCCATCCCATCTCCTAGGGGATATTATCTCCAGGGAAAATAAGTAGGTGAAAAGTCAAACATCCCTTTCCAGATGCCTCTGCTTCTCCTTCTTATGTCAGCACTAGAGTAAATGCAGCTTGAAGTGCTGACAGATGCTTTGCAAGTTGACACCCTGTGGTTGTAAGTCAAGGACTACTTGTGTATCAAATGGGGTCTCTGAAATATTATCCTCTGCCTACCAAAAGCTCTGTTCAGCACTGTGTGAGTTATACTCTCCAGTAAGTGCAGAGAGGGGTTACAGAAAACAAGCAAAGACATCGGCGCTGCCCTATATGTAGTATTTAACCCAACCCTAATAATGTGCTTTGGCGTCCAGTATGGTAATTGTAATCAGCCCATGACCATCTGCTTGTCTGTCCACCGCAGGGATGGCGAGATTGAAGACCTGAAGACCCAACTCTCAAGGATGCAGGAAGACTGGATTGAGGAGGAATGTCACCGAGTGGAGGCTCAGCTGGCCCTCAAAGAAGCCCGGAAGGAGATTAAGCAGCTCAAGCAGGTCATCGACACCGTCAAGAATAACCTGATCGAGAAAGACAAAGGCCTCCAGAAGTACTTCGTGGACATCAACATTCAGAACAAGAAGCTGGAAACGCTGCTGCACAGCATGGAGGTTGCGCAGAACGGGACGGTCAAAGAGGAAGGGCATGCCGAGTCAGCCGGGGGGTCCCCCGCACGCTCGCTCACCCGCAGTTCCACGTACACCAAGTTGAGTGACCAGGGAGCGACGGACAGGAACATCGGCGGCTCTCAAACCATCTCGGTGGACGACGGAGCCGATAGTGGCTTTGTGGCTGCAGAGAACTCCTTGAGCCGGACAGATTTGCTGGACCACAGCAGCCTCCTGTCCTCAGGTGTGGAGTGTGGCCCCGACGACGCCTCGTCCCTGCACACCTCCTACACCTTGGGGTCCCAGATGCCCACCAGCTCCACATACGAGAAACTGATGGGATCTCAGCAGAGCGTGGAAGCCGCCGTACAAGCTACCTGCATGCAGGAACAAGCCATCCAGACAGATTTTGGACATTACCAGCCAGATCTCGACACCATCTTGGAGAAAGTCATGAAGTCTCAAGCGGGCAGCGTCGCCAGTCCCACCTCAGAGTGGCCCTCTGAGATAGAGGAGGTGACCGAGCCCACCAGTTTAGAGAGTGGTGTCCCCAACTGCTCGAATCCCACGGACAGGACGGCCCCCGAACCCTTCTCAGCTGTCGTGATCAATGCCGGAGAACCCACCGAGAAGCCTGATGGCCATCCGGCCTCGCAAAACCCAGCTGTGCATCAGCCGTGCAGCGCCAGCCCATCCGTGAGCATCGTCTGTACCCCTGAAGATGAGGCAACCGAGCCAGGAGAGGACACCACAGAGGCAGAAGCCTTAGTCGAGCCCAAAACTTACTGGAGCCGCCACTTCCTTGTGGATCTCTTGGCGGTGGTCGTGCCAGCTGTGCCTACAGTCGCCTGGCTGTGCCGTTCGCAGAGGAGGCAGGGGCAGCCCATTTACAACATCAGCTCTCTTCTAAGGGGCTGTTGCACCGTTGCCCTGCACTCGATCCGGAAGATCAGCTGCCGGTCGGTCACCAACATAAACAGCTCCTGCTCTCAGCCATAACTTCTTCCTTCTTCCCCGCCCGACCAGCTCTGTCATGTGCACGCACATCTGCTTTGTTGCCCTCAGAGCCAGCAGGGTTTAGGGGACCACGATTGTAAATCCCGTATACGCACACTTGAATTTCTCTTTCCCTGTTACCTGATTTATTTAGCGCACAGGCGGGCGACTTAACTGGCATCCTTATGTGCTGGATCTTGATTTATGCAAATAGCTTGGGAGAAGAAGCCATCGCTGTGGTGACCCTGGCGCAGCGTGGACAGGATAAAAACCGTCTTCTCCTTGCTGAGAAACCATCTCCTTTCAGGGATGCTGCTCTTGAAAACTCAGTTTTTGCTCTAGGAAACGTGTGTCGCGTTTCCTCCGCGATTGGCTGACTCACTTCTCCCTCCTCTTAATATCTGAATGTTTTTGAGTGATGCAGAAAACGTTACTCCGTTGTCGCGGCCTCCCTCTTCTCTCTTTTTCCTGCTTTTTTTCAGGTTTCATCCTCTAACCAGCCCTGAGTCTACCTCACCTTCCCTAAACCATTTCCCATTCTGCTTTAAGTACAGGTCCATCTCTGTTCTTCACCCTACAGGAACCCGTCTTGCAGCATGGCTGACTGGGGAATTCTGGGAGTTGAAGTCCACCCATCTTCCAGTTGCCAACTTTGAAAAACAGTGCAGTAGAAGAACGACGGTGTCTGATTTGCAGAGAGGAGGCAGAGGCCATGTTGAAAAGATGTTTGCGACAGCAGCTCCCCAAATTCCACTGGTTCCCTTTTCTACCCACCCACAAATTTCCAGAGTCCTGACTTCATCTTCTGCCTCTTTGCAAACTGGTGGCTTCTTTCCCTCGTTTCTTGTTATCTAAGACAGAGATCCCTAATCCCCGGCCCACAGTCTGGACCCAGTCTGTAGCTCGTTGTGAACTGGGCTGCGCAAACAATGGGCGAGTGCGCAAATGTGTGAAGCTCCATTTGTGAAAGCGGCGAGCACGCACGCAAAACCATCCCCTGTCCTCACCACAACCGCCGTCGCCACTGCCAGTCTGGGGATCCAGAAAGGTTGGGGATCGCAGATCTAAAAGAGATACAACAGAGAACAAACCCCACTCCCTTCTAGCACGGATGATGTTACCAAGTTGGGTTCATCAAACATCTGCAAGAAAACAACCAAGCTCAGAGAACACCAAGGACCCCCCCACACACACACAGTCCTCCTCTTCACAAACCTTCCAGCACTAATGAAGTTACCGGATCATGAAACCTCCTCCTCTTCCTCCTCCTTCTCCCCGCAAACCCCACTCTCTTCTGATCATGTTACCTGTTAGAGTCATGAAACGCCTCCAAGGAAACCACCAAGCTCAAAAGACCACCAAGGACACTCTGGTTCAACCCCGAGCCACACATATTCTCTTCATATAATGGTATCTAAGATGGTGCAGAAGTCTTGCAGGACCCCAAATCTTTGACCTGGATATTTAGGGGCAGGGGGCAGGCTTGCTAGAATAATACGAACCCCAATACTTTCTAGTTGACCCCAATTCAATAATAGACACAGGGTTTGTGAATCACTACATTTATAAGCTTGTTCCATATCCTTTACCATCACCTGCCCTTTTGGTACAAATACTGTCCTTAGTCAAACTACCCTGGTGTTTCTAGTGAAAAGAGTACACACCCAATCCCCTTTGTATTTTGCATAAAATTAGAATGACCCTTCCTACGAAGATCTGCCGTTTTGTAATGCAAACTGTAGGCCAGCCTCCACATCACGTCCACTGTTCGGATTTCACTCTTCCCCCAGTCCTCCGTCTACTAGAGCTACTTGATGTACCGTAGGAGAAAGGGGGGAAAAAAGCACACTCAGCACTTTGTTCAGAGATTGTCTACTATCACGTCGCCTCTTCCGAGGCTAACCCTTTGGCGAACCTTGCCTCAGAGGAGGTACCTTCCTGCAGATACACGTTGCAACACGACGCTGCACCGTTTTCGAGGGATACCTGGGAACGCAACGTCGGAGCAACACACGCGAGAGGAAATGTAGTCAGGGGTTCCCCATGCCCCGTTGACGCCAGCCCTCCTCTTGAGAAATGTTTGTGCAAGAGGACTCGGGCGTCATTCCCGTCACCTCCAAGAATGTTGTGAAATGTGTCGAATCGTGAGCGCGGCGTGCAAGGGTGCCTGCGGATGTGTCGCTCGCCCCCGTCACATTCGTGAGACTTTCTGAACTGTTTGCTCTGAGCATGCTCTGCTCTCCGCGTTTCGGAAAATGCTCCCGGGAACGAAGATCAAGAGAAGGCAGAGATATACCTCACGTGGAGCAACCTGCCGTCCCCTCCTGGGAGGGGAGGGGAGGGTCAAAGAAGCCCTTAAGTTTGTTGTTGTTTAGCTTTGCACTATGTTCACTTTTGGCAAACTTGAACGCTGCTGTCCTGGTTGATCGGCGGGAGCGGGTTCCAGTGGTGGGCTGCTCTCCTCAGCGATGCTAACCCTGTCTTTGTAAAACTGGAGAGGCTAACTATGGAGCAGGCTCCAGCGTACTGTGTGCCCCCACACTGGTTGCGACTTCTGCCCATCCGGTAGGCAAGAATGTTGATGCAACCCTTCAGTACATCAAGGCCTGGACATGGACCGTTATCGTAGTACTGGCCTAGGAAAATGTGCCTCCTTTGGATTTCCATTGTTTGCTTGTAACGTGTAGAACAAACGATCAAGGGAGTAGAGAAACTGACTAGGTAGGGATTAAACTCCACATCCGTTTGAAGTGGGGAGGGGGGCTGGAGGTTCTGAAGGCCCTGGCTGAAACCCCGTCTCTGGCACCACATCTTCTCCAGCCTCCTCATTGTCCGACTTGAGTGCCAACTGCACAGGGTGCTCATGCAGCACCATACCAGCCTCCTCACTGTTCGAATCAGCCACCAGCCGCACAGGCTGTGTATGGGCCACAAGAAGTCCTCAGCTTACAACCCCAACGGAAACCCAAAATTTCCACTGTCAAGCAAAGGCAGTTGTTAAGTGAGCTGTGCCCCATTTTACAACCTTTTCTGCTACAGTTCTTAAGCGAATCATGCGGTCATTAAGCAAATCTGGCTTCCCCCGTTGACTTCGTTTGTCAGAAAGGTCACAAGGTGATTCTATGATCTCGGGATGCTGCAATCATCATAAACATGAGCCACTTGCCAAGTGCCCTAATTTTGATCACTGCGGGGATCCTGCGACGGTCGCGAGAAAAAGTCACTTTTTCACTGCCGTAGTAACTTCAAACGGTGATTAAACGAAGTTGTAATACCAGGACTATCTGTAATGGTGTATGATTGGATGGGTGGGCAACATATATATTTTTTTTCTGTATAGTATGTACTGTATTTCCTTGAAAATAAGACCCTGTCTTATATTTTTTTTGAACCCCGAAATAAGTGCTTGATCTTATTTTCGGGAAGGTCTTATTATTTTGGGGCACATGGAGAAAGACGGGGCTCCTCTTGCCGTCTTACCTGATTTCCAGATCTGAGTTTAAATATTTTCAGGGAGGGCTTATTTTTTGGGGGGGGGCTTATTTTAGCACATGCGCTCAAAAGCCCGATTGGGCTTATTATTAGGGGAGGTCTTATTTTCGGGGAAACAGGGTATATATTGTAAACTATATAATCTTTTTCAATCTCTGTGCCATACAGTCGTTTTCTTCAGTACAGGTAAGGCTCAACTTACAACAGTTTACTTAGTGACCAGCACTGAAATAAATGATTTACGACAATTTCCCACACTTATGACCATTGCAGCATCCCCACGGTCGTGTGATTAACATTCAGAAACTTGGCAACTGACTCATATTTATGATGGTTATAGTGTCCCTCCCGGGGTCATGTGATTCCCTTTTGCGACTTTTCAACAAGCAAAGTCAAAGGGGAATCTGGACAACCCGGTTACTAAATTAAGAACTGCGGTGAGTCATTTAACAAATGTGGCAAAATGAAAACGTGGCAAACTGGGGCAAACCCCACTTAACAAATGTCTCACTCAACAACAGAAATTTTGGGCTCAATTGTGATCGTACGTTGAGGACTACCTGTATTTGACACAAAGCTCTCCAACTTTAACCAATTCTGTGGGCATTTCATCCTGCAATCATTGGCGGTTTGCAGCTCAAATTGTGTTCTGTTGTAACTGCTCTAACAGCAACCATGTATTAGAAGAGCAAGAATCTGAAACTCACAAGCAGCAAAATAGTATTCAAATGCACACTTATTCGCCAGATAAGTTTATACCTTCAGAGGAAAGCTGACAATCTGGCTTCAAAAGGATATTTCCATCCCCGCAATCCATTGCTCTTCGCAAAGACAGGCTGCCTGCTGCCCCTGAGCGACCAACTTTAGTTGAACTGTTTTTCTTATTTGCAGCTACAGGATTAAAAAAAAAAAAAAAACCTTCAGCTTTAAATACAAGTAATATTTTAAAAAGAAAGACATAAGGTATATCTGGCTGAGACTTAAAAGAGAAATCACCCCTTATCGTTACCATTATTTTAGAACTTTTAAAACAAGGTATTTTATCTCAGCTCAAAGATGGATATTTTCTTTCTTAATTGAGGCTCCCATATATACTGGTAACTGCTTTTTCTACGTCAGTGGTTTACAACCCCTGGGCTTTAACTCTCAAAACTCCTGAGTCAATGTGGCCATTGATGAGAAATCCAGCAGTTAAAGAACACATATCTGGAATTTACAAGTTTGTGAAACTGTATTATTGCTACATGTTACTATTTACTATCCATACCGTGTATACAAATGCACAGAGTACAGGGAACAAACAACACAAATAGAAAACTTAAATGCAGGAAGGTGAATGCAATTTAATGTAACTTGGTGGCCAAAACCTGAACAGAATGAAAGGACTGAAGGGTATATCTTATTTAAAGGAATAGGCCTTTAAAAGGATTAAGAAGATTGATTGATTGATTGATGATCGATGGATCTCTCTCTCTTATCTCATCTTTCTCCTGTCTGTCTCTCTGTCTGTCTGTCTGTCTATTGAAAAGAGCCACTGTGGCATAGTGGTTAGAGTGCAGTACTGCAGGCTACTTCTGCTGACTGCTGGCTGACTGTAATTTGGCAGATCGAATCTCACCAGGCTCAAGGTTGACTCAGCCTTCCATCTTTCTGAGGTGGGTAAAATGAGGACCCAGATTGTTGGGGGCAAGAGGCTGACTCTGTAAACCGCTTAGAGAGGGCTGTAAAGTACTATAAAGTGGTATATAAGTCTAAGTGCTATTGCTATTAAAGCAACTGCCATCAGCAATCAATGCTTTGGCAAAAGCAGATTAACCTTCCCAGCATTCAGTCTCTGTCTGTTCTCAAAGTATATGTGATTGAAAAGTTTATGTTCATTTGAAATCAGTGCTTTATCAAGGCAGGCGTAATCACGTCTGCACACAACAGGGTCGGTAAATGGCTCCCTTCTTACCGAAGTGATGACTAAACCCCTTTCCACTTACAATTCCGAATATAGCAGCTAGAGAGGGATGATTTTGTCAGCAGCTCCCTCCCAAGTTCCTGCAGCTTGTTGTAGCCTTCTGTCCCACAAGCCGCCAAGGCTCCCTGGTCACCAGGGAATGCGTACGTGGCCTGCCCATCCGAGGAGCTGGTGTTGCTACTCCGAACCTCGGACAGCTGGTTCTTCACATCGGACATTTTACTCCGTACTTCAGCCATCTGACTCTTCAACCTCTTCAGCATTTTCAAGTCGGGTGGGACACGCCACATGGCCTGGTGCCTCCGGTGGTCTTTCTCTGTTAAAGAGCAGGACGGTTAGGGTTAGGGACATGGTGTTTAGAGAAATTAGAGCACTTTTGAATATAAAGTTAGATATGTCACCGAGAATTGCATTATTGTTGCTGGTGGGAAAACGGGATATAAATGAAACAGAAAAGGAATTGATTGTAAATTTTATAATGGCAGCTAGATTAGTGATGGCTAAATATTGGGGACTAAATTGGGATATTCAAAGAAATAAGTGATATAATGAAATCTGGAGCATGGCAACAAATGATAAATTAACAACAGAAATTAAATTTAAAAAAGGGGTGATCAAAGCAAACAATTATAATGAAATATGGGGGGATTTTATAAAACAGTGTTGGTAGAAGGCAAAGGGAATAAACCTACTTAAGAATATATGTTGTTTTGGAGGGGATAAGGGCACAATTGGAATATATTGTATATCTTTTAGTTATTATAGAAGAAGAAATATAAGAAAAAAAAAGTGGTCTCCGGGGGTGGGGGTGCACTGTAATATTTGTATTTTTTTCCTTTTTTTTGTATGTAGATGTATATGTAGTATTTATTTATTTATTATTGCGATTTATATGCCGCTTTCTCCTTGTCAATTACAAAATGACAAATTTCACAATGAAATTAAATCCTATTTCAGTTATGACAATACTATGTTATACCATAATATATGGTAATACTATGTTTGTATTACCGTGTTTCTCCGAAAATAAGACATGTCCAGATAATAAGCCCAATTGGGCTTTTCAGCGCATGCGATAAGCCCCCCCCACAAAATAAGCCCCCCCAACTGCTTACGCGCATGCGCAGCTGGTCCCGCCATTTCCTCTGGTTGCTTGCCGTGCAACCAAAATGAGTTGAGGAGGCGAGGCTGGGGGGGGGGGGGGTACATGCCCTCCCCTCCCTGTTCTTTGCGCCGGCCGAGCGGCCCAACACGTCCCACCCCACCCCGATGGCAACAGCAGCCTGGCTGCTTCCCTTCCCCGCCATCTCTTTATTGAGAGGGTTGGAAGGTAGAGCGTGGGAGAAGCAAGACGCGTAGAGTGAGATGTGGCTCCCCGTTCTCTGATCGCACATCCATTTAAGGAGAGCCCATATGTAATGTTTAAAGGATTAGATTAGGGTGTATTTAATACCAAATTAAAACTGTATTTAGTCTCAAATTGTATTTAGTCTCAAATTGTATTTAGTCTCAAATTGTATTTAGTATCACATCAGAACTGCAGAAAAAAACACGGCTACCAACTTGCCTTCCATGGAGGACCCGTCTACTGCACGAGTCAAAAAGAGGGCTGGGAAAATATCTACAGACCCCTCGCATCCTGGATATAAACTGTTTCAGCTCCTACCCTCAAAACGACACTATAGAGCACTGCACACCAGAACAACTAGACACAAGGACAGTTTTTTCCCAAACGCCATCACTCTGCTAAACAAATAATTCCCTCAACACTGTCAAACTATTCACTAAGTCTGCACTACTATTAATCTTCTCATCGTTCCCATCACCTATCTCCTTCCACTTATGGCTGCATGACTGTAAATTTGTTGCTTGTATCCTTACGATTTATAGTTTCCTAGTATGATTTGATTGCTTATTTTTTCCCTATGACTATCACTAAGTGTGTGCCTATGATTCTTGATGATTATATTTTTTACGTACACTGAGAGCACATGCACCGAAGACAAATTCCTTGTGTGTCCAATCACACTTGGCCAATAAAGAATTCTATTCTATTCTAAATAAAGCAATATCAAAATACTTTGCAAATGATCAGTTAGGCAAAGGATGATGGAGGACTGCAGGAATGTAAGGACGTGATGACTGCTGTGACTTTGGGAGGCTCCTAAGTGAGAAAAAGCTAATTTACAGCAACAAATACTCCCTAAAAAAAAATCAAATCTTAAATGGCTGACTAAAGGTTATAATGTCGGACTGTAATATGCAACTACTTTGCAGTATCCAAATGGCGCGTAGCCCCATTACCGAAGAGATCATTTTACTGCAATAGCATTTCAGTAATGGATTTCTCTACCAAACATGAAGGTGCCTCTCTGGAGGACAAATCTGCAATAAATTGCTTAAAAGTAGCATAACCAGAGTTTTTGCTTTAGCTAATTTTTCCCTGCTTCCTGTTAGGCACAGACCTATGTTAAAGAAATAAAAATGTTAAGAGAAAAGGTCAGGCAGCTGAGTCTTCTCTATGTGAAGTGACAAGCAGTTTACTGTGGAAGATTCTGAAAATATCACAGGGAAGGGAAAGATCTATTCAATTTGCACTGTATAAAGAGTCCTATTTCTGGCTCGTTCTCCTCTCCTTTCCTCCACCTCCTCTCCCATTTCTGGCACGGGTAAAACTAGAAAAAAAGGCCTGATGGAGTTGCAGGAGCAGAGAGCTTCTAGGGGCTGGGAGCTGTATATAGTCTTACACCAGGAGAGCAAGAATAAAAGTCGTTTGCTACAAGATGGGTGGCAAATAAATATGAAAAATATAAATAAATGAAAAAGTAAATAAAAAAAATAAATAAGGACAGGAAGGAGGGAAGAGATTAAAACAAAGAAAGCAGGGAGTCTGTACTTAATACATTAAATATATAATTAAACTGTAAGTATTTCCACAAGACACAGAAAAAGAAAACCAAAAGAGGCAGGATAGCGTGCAATATTATTTGTACCCTCACCACTATCTAATGTTCATTTTTTTTAAAAAATGGAAGATAGCTATGAAAAACTACCTGCATTTATTTAAAAAAAGAGAAACCGCCACAGCTTTTTTCCTTAAATGGGCTACTGAAAAAGATGGGAGGATGTGACATTTTTAAAAGGTAAGCAAATTCATTCAAAACTACGGTGTTTGACAATAAATCCCAAAGTTCATTTACCAGATATTTTTCATTGGCGAGGTGCCAACCTAATCCTAAATAATATGAAAATAATGTTGATTTCCAGAAGGTCAAGGAACATGAGGCAGACCCAGAAGATGGAGAGACAACATCAAAGACACACTACAACGGAGGAGGAGGAGGAGGAGGAGGAGGAGGAGGAGGAGGAGGGAGGAGGAGGAGGAGGAGGAGGAGGAAGAAGAAGAAGAAGAAGAAGAAGAAGAAGAAGAAGAAGAAGAAGAAGAAGAAGAAGAAGAAGAAGAAGAAGAAGAAGAAGAAGAAGAAGAAAGAAGAAGAAGAAGAAGAGAAGAAGAGAAGAAGAAGAAGAAGAAGAAGAGAAAAAAAACCTGAGAGAGAAAGGCTGGCAATGACCTACAAGTTCCCTGCCCTTTCCTAAAAAGCGAGAAGCACCAACTTTTTAAGGAAGGGGTCCACAACTACTGGGCTGTGGCCTATTTGCAACCAGCGGGCACCGGTACTCGCAGCCCCACATGCACGAGTGGCAGGTGCTCTAACCTGCCACTCACACAAATGAAGATGTGCCCCTACCATAAAACCATCCCCTCTTCCCCCTGAACTGGACCGCCAACTGGGAAAGGCTGTTTATGTCTCCGTCAAGTTAATTAAAATCAAAGTAAAAATTCTGCTACGCTAACAACTTCACACAAGAATGTACAGGATCTCTATGGCGATATTGCCAACATTGCATAGTTGTTATTTTTAAAAAGATCTAAATTTAGTTTCCAAACCCTACATATGCTATCTAACAAATGTAATACACATCCTGGTGCCCATGGCTATCGCGTTGCCAGCCTGTGTCTTCAAGCTCCCAATAGGACAGTCAAGTCTCTCAATATTTGTACTGACTGCTTTCTCAAGCGTTGCTTTCCAAATTCTCATTATCTTACCATTAAGTTACAGATGAGGCTTTAAAATCACATTCCATCTTGGTATAACCACCAGCTGAATATAGGCTTTCCCTCAGGGGTGGGTTCTAAATTTTTTTACTACCGGTTCTGTGGGTGTGGCTTATTTTGTGGGTGTGGCTTGGAGGTCATGTGACTAGGTGGGCGTGGCTAGCTGGTCAGAGTCATTTCTGGAAGGTCCTCGCACTTACGACCAGTCCTCGCACTTACGACCCGACTCATTTGTTTGCTTTTAACACTGATCAGCTGTAGGGCGGCCCTTTGAAGCCCCGCGGCAAGAGTTTAAACAGTTTTTTTTCCCTCTGGTCATCAGCTGGGACTCAGGAGGCAGCAATAGATTGGGGGTGGGGCCAAATAAAAGGTAAGAATAACGTGGGTGGGTGGGGGGTGGGAGGGCAGGGGGGGGAGAACCGGTTCGGTGACATCATATCGTCACCGCTACCGGCTCAGCCGAACCGGACCGAACCGGGAGGAACCCACCACTGCTTTCCCTCTTGGATTGCTAACAGGCCAAGTATCTCACATATATTTAATGTGGATGTTTCTATTTTTTATGGTTTTAAAATGTTTTTAGTTTTGATTGCAATATATATTTTTTAAAAATTGAAAGCTGGCTATATAGAAATTAATTGAAGGAAGGAATGAATCTTGTCTAATTTTTTTTTTTAGCATGTAGGTATCCGTTCAGAGGTACCATAGGACACCAAATATTCAAAACCGTTTCTGCCTGTTATTTTGAGAATGATTACAATTTTAACTATACAGGTAGTCCTCAACTTAACAAAGTTCATTTAAGTGACCATTCGAAGTTAAAATGGCACTGGAAAAAATGACTTATGAAAGTTTTTCACACTTACGACCACTGCAGAATCCCCATGTGAACAAAATTTGGACGTTTGGCAACTAACTCGTATTTATGACGGTTGCAGTGTCCTGCAATCTTGTGATCCCCTTTTTGCGACCTTCTGGCAAGAAAAGTCAATGGGGAAGTCAGATTTACTTAACGGCCGTGTTGCTAACTTAACCACTGCAGTGATTCACTTAACTGTCTCGCTTAACAACAGAAATGTTGGGTTCAATTGTGGTCGTAAGTTGAGGACTACCTGTAATTCCCTCTTTTCTCAAGGACCTGAACCACGTGTCGATGTATTCCTTGTCTGTGGAAGTTTAAATAGTTCAACTTTCTAAAACTTATTCTTGGTATCTTCAGGT